GATAGTTAATATATTCCCAATGGCTAAATCAATATTTTCTGGAAAAAAAATCATATAAAGAAATTGGTAACAGTCACTGTTAAGAAGTTTGCGCGCGTAGAGTCATTGGTAGTTTTATGCGGGGTGTTGTTTTGTCTGAGGGACTACGTTTTTGTTGTCTGGCGGTGTTATTGAAATGTGAGATCTTTCGACCATTAACATCCGTCTTGACCAAAACGCTCGTCAGATGTCATGGTGCCCTTGAGCTCAAGGGAATGGACTTGATCTATCTTTTTTTATTTTAATATAAAAAAGTTTTTTTTCCAAGTCATGACTTGAGGGCCTCAAAGGCCATAGTCTTGGTGAAGGGAAGAAACTTGTACGAGACTTTTCAAAGGTTTTAAGAAGGTTTTTTTTTTTTTTTTTTTTTTTTTTTTTTTTTTTTTTTTGTTTTTTTTTTTTTTGTTTTGAATTTATTAAGGCGAATTGGGTATGTAGGAAGGCATAGCCTTGGGATCAAAGGACTCATGCCTTCACACTTTCAAAATATTTCGTTCGTTTATATAGGGTTGATCCTTGAAAGGCAAGGTTTCCAATGTATTGTTTTAAATTTCTTAAAAGGCAGTCGAGATGAAAATATTTGAGACTTATTGGTAATTGCCCTGAGGCCCGCGCCGTGCGATTTTGAAACGCGAAGAATTATGGGTTGATACAAAGCCTGCTGTTACGCTGGGGACTACGGACGACCCAAATGTACCATTCTAAAAGCTGCAGCTAGATGTATGATGTTATTTTGGCTTAAGCAGGCAGATAGAAAATATTTTACTACGGTCATTGATAAGATTCGGAAGCGCTGGACTACTGAGTAGGGCATCTAACACTTACGCACACAGCACACAACTTGCATTGTGTTTTGTTAGATTGTGATGTGTGTATTATGTTTTCGTTTTATAAAAAGAGAGAAAACTAAAATATTGACTTTTGCCCAACTCGGATATACATTAATTGTTTTGTTTTTACACTGCTTGGAAAGTAGGTATTTTTTACAATACATTGCGTTTCAGGGGCATTTGGTTCTGCGCTTATATGATATATATATGTAATTAATTATTTTATATTATTCTTTATTATTAGTGGAGAAAATAATGGATATTTCCAAAGTGGCGCATCTAATGGGTTTGTAGCGAAAAAGATGGTTTAGGTTTCAGGTTTAGGATTTGGTCTCGACGTTCTAGGAAACACGATCGTTATAATGCAATGGGAAAAGAGTAAAGCAAACAGCATAATTTAGACAATTGTATTATAATTATTGTGATTATAAGAACAATACTAGTAATATGTGTTACTCATGTCTCATTTTCATAACAGGCGCGCGCGTACAAACCGCAACACGCACATGCTAACACACCACAACAACCAACCGACCACAAACAACCCAACAAAACCACCGAACACATACACACACACATGCACACATGCAGCACACCACAACACAACATATACAAGGACCCACAACACGAGCAAACACTACACACACACACAACGCACACACCACACACGACACACACAAAGACAGACACACATGCGGCGCACGCGCGTGCGCACGACGCTAAAACAACGGTATGATTGTAGGCGTGCGCTCAACACACACATCGAACGAGCACACACACACACAGACCACACACCACACACAACAAGCTACACTCTCTCCTCTATCTCTCTCTCGTCGCTCTGATCTCATCTCTCTCTCATCTCTCCGTCGGCACACAACAGCAGAGC